GCATCTTGTACAGCAATTAACCACTAGGAAGAATGTATGCAATGTGTTAATTATTGAAACTGTCCTACCAATTTGGTTTGAAACTGTCTCATTGCTACTTGCTTCTCAATAAAATTATGGAAAAAAAAGAAATAAATTACACAAACAGTAAGGCACAAAAATACATTCCTCATTCATTACCATGGAAAGGCAAAGAGAAGCCCCTGCGAGCCCCAGCTACATACGGACGATGAGGGGCTAAATCTTCCAGTTTAGCAGCCTTCCCATGTGAGTCAGCAGTTTCGCGCTTATGTATTTACAGCATGAAAAAGATGCTTGCTCAAAGCTTGGACAGTGTTTGCAGCAGGAACTGCTACAAATAAAGCAACTGCTACAAATTCCACCAACAGAGGAAACCGGAAAAGAATTTGTTGTAAATGAAAGGACAGGCTTAGCAATAAGAAGTCAGAGTACTCTATACATGCAACAACAGAAGTATAGCAAACACATGCTGAGGAAAACTAGGCTGACGAATGCAAAATTTATGAAGCCATTTATGCAAAGCTCTAGGAGAGACAAATGTAACCTATACAGTTAGGAAGCAGACAGGAGTTGTTTGGGGTCTGAGGTGTAACGTGCTGGAGAGACCAAAAGGGAACTTTTAGGGTGCTGAAAACATTCTTTGGGAATTAAACATTCCTTGGATTTAGCTTTTTATCAAAACACACTGAACTAGAGGACAATAACTACCTACACCATTATTTTCCAACTTTTCCTCCAAAAACCACACCGAATGATAAACACAGCCTCAACACAACCTGAAAGAAAAAGATTATCAAACTTCAAAACATGTGTAAAGCCCTGGGCCTGCCGTTCTGGCCCTGGCCCAGGCCCCGACCCCAGGGCACACTGAAACAGCAATTGAGACCGGGCATGCTGGCACACGCTGTAATCTCAGCTCTTGGGAGGCTGTAAACAGGCAGATCACTACAAGTGCGATGTATATAGTGAGACCCTGAACACCTTGTAGACCCTTCCCTAAAATCAAAAAAAAAAAAAAGAAGAAGAAGAAGATGTGTAAGTGAAAAAGAAAAATAACAAATCCCAGCTCTGGGTCTCTCAAAATATCTTATCTCTTGCTGCTCACCCTTCTTGTGACGACAGAGGCGATACAATGCCTATGTGATGGGACAAAGTGGGGAAACGAGCACGCCGGGAGCGGCTGGCACCGGGAGGGGCTGCAGGCTGCCGCGCTCGCCACGGAAGCATCTGCTAGCAGGCTGGTAAGGCAGAGAGCTGATGCGGTTCACGCAGCGGGCAGCACGTCTAGGTTGGCTTCGCTGGACGACAGACAGCGCTCCGCGTGGGCAGGAAGCGATTTCACCCTGCTACTCAGAATAGCGCACCATTTAAAACTTATTATTTATTTGTAGGTTTTTCCATTTCTTATTTTCAGACCTCTCTTGGCTGCCAGCAACTGAAACTAGAGAAAGTCAAAGCACAGCTCAAGGAGGGCTACGGCAGCAGGGAGTATCCACTCACATGAAGTTCAAGGGAAGACGTAAAAGCACAAGAACAGTGAGCACCAGAAGCGCGGGGCAGCCAGCTGACCTGCGAGGGGCATGAAGCGGAGCGTGACGACGGTCACTGCCTCACTGCAGGTTGCATCGCCAGGTATACAGTTGGAAGAATTCATCAAGCAAAACATTTAAGGTGGGAGTATTCCCTGTTCTTTAGGTACACTCAATAAAATACTGTTCTACCTTTTAGAAGCATCAATATATTTTGTTTAGATATTATTCTTTGATTTTTTTTCCCTAAATATCACTTCCTTCTAGTTGGAACCAGACCAAATTTTAACTATTTGCTTTACCTGAAACATGTTCCATTCTCTTTTATTTTATTTTTCTGAACAGTAGTAGTAGATGCTTGAAGTGACAAAATTTTATTTCCAGGCAGCGTAATTTGCTTTACAATGGAAGCTATAAAAACAAAATGAGAAAAAATAGAAAATAAAAAAGCAATCATGCCACACCAAAAAAAAATTCAGAACAAGTATTTAATATATACAGAATAATCAAAGTTTTAATCTGCCCTAAAACTATATTTAAATAGGATGATGGATATATTTCCTGGATAAGAAATCATCTTTTAAATATTTCTGCTTTTTTACACGGTCTCTATCTGTAGAGTTAACACATTATAAAAAAGAGGTATAAATGGTGACTAAAACATGCTAAACAATCTATCACTTAGATTGATACATTTTTCAACAGTTAAAAACTGTATAAGACTAACTTCCAAACTCAGAAGAAAAAAAAAAATCTACTTTAAAAAGGAATCATGCTATCACAAATCTTTAAGTTAAAAGAATATATATATTTACTAATAGCTTGTTATATCTAATTAGAGAATATACGAGCAGTTGCTCCCAGTATGCCCCTAAAAGTACCTGTGTTTGTACAAAGGATGGAACGAATAGCTACCCTTCAGTCTTCTCTTGGGAACTTCAGATCACAAACTTCTCTCAATCCAAAAATACAGCAACTGCGCCCACCCCACCACCCTGCGATGGCGCTCACTGGCAGGGGCGGCTGTCGCCCTGGAGGACACTTACTAGTCGGTACTACAGTGTTCCCTGGAACCGTGAGTGCAGATTTCGGAATGGTCACTGCCGAGGAATGCGGTGCTGCGGTCCCTTGTTTCCCAAGGCCTCCTGACGGCTGCTGGACTACCTGAAGCAAGGAGAACCACCAGTCATTCACAGAAGCCTGCGTTAGGAGAGGACGAAGATCCCGCTTCGAACAAGACTGCGCTCCCTGCGCATACCGTGCACCTTTATCTTCACATAAGAAAATGCTTGCCTAAAATTTATTATTTGTATGTATTAAAATTGTTTTGTTCAAAGTGAAAAACATGACTATCTCATACATTTTATACTATTTTCTTAGTGCATTATTAGTTATATATAGGTATTTCTATGGCATACTATTTTCAGAGAGGTGAAATTTATAAAAATTTTCATATGGATCCTATTTTCATTTTGTAACTTATGGAAAATTTAATAGACATAGCAGAAAAATATAAAATGAAAGCACCCATACCCTTATCCAGCTTAAGCAATGATTAATTCAACAATCAAGTTTTATCCTCTACTTCTCTACCACTCTCAATTTTTTGTACAAGGTCTCACTAGGCATCTTGGACTCATAGTGATCCTCCCCAGCACTGGGATTACAGGCGTGCGCCACCAAACCTGGTCTCAGTGGTTGGCTGAGCACGCCCACGGGCAGGACCAGCCCTGCAAATGGTGCCAGGGATCAAACCCCAGTCCCTGTGCTTGTCTAAGCAGGCGCTTAGTCTGCTGAGCTATCTCGCCAGCCCTACTCTCAATTATCTGAAAGCAAATCTCAGATGTATCTTTTCAAAATTACAAATATTTCAAAATATATCTCTAAAGGATATGGGCTTATTTTGTATCTGTGTATTCAAAGTGGTTGGGATAGATATATAGTTGCATTCTCTTAATGAATAGAATGATTTGTTCTAATGGTGTTTGTAAATAGGATCACAAGTCCGCATCTTGTACAGCAATTAACCACTAAGAAGAATATATACAGTGTATTATTTGTTGAAACTGTACTTGCGATTTGATTTGAAACTGTCTCATTGCTATCTGTTTATCAATAAAACTTTGGAAAAAATAAAAAAAAATAAAGGATATGGGCTTCCTGTGTGCTGTTTTCTAAAGGTGACTTCCTAAGCCATCTGAAAAGTTACAATGCTGAAGGCATTCTTCAAGATAAACAGGTATAAAGGCAACAACAGTTGGGAAAAAGGAAAAGAAATTAAAGTTTAAGAGCAAGGTTATCACTTTTTTAGTGCCAAAGAAAAGGAAAAAAACAGAATAGAAGAATGTTGTTTTCTTCAATTCAAAGAAGAAACTTTCACTGTGAGCTTAGAGTAGCTCTTGACAGTAAACTATAATTAAACTCCTACATCACTGCTGTAAGAAAATCCTGGTCTTGCCAGGAAAAAGATTCCTTAATAAAATTAGGAGAATGTAATTTAATCTCCTTTCTAACTATTTGTATATAAAATTTAAAACTCAAGAAAAAAGCAACAACACAAAATAGCTTAGTAAATAATCCTATTGGAACTAATGACCTCATAGAGGAAATATAAATTGGAATAATTCAACTGTTCTCATTCTTTGATAACAGAAAGGCACTCTTCTAGAGAAGAAATGTTTGTTGGCATGATTCAGATGCCATTGTTCTTTGATAACAGAAAAGAACTCTGAGGAAAATAATGTATTTCAATGAAGCTGAAATCACACTCATATCATGGAAAATTTGTAAGTATCAGGCTTAACCTCTATGAAATAATACACATCTGAAGTCATGTTGCTGCATTGAGTGAAACTCAAGAGAATGTAATCCACAACTTGGACTCATTTCCCCATTTTTCCTATTTTCTGCCTTGATGCTGTTTTTAGGTATTGTTTAAGCATTTTCAGTGAGTCTTCATACCATTTTTGATAGGTATATGAACATACAACGAAGTCTTGAGCTGAGATTTAGTAACCCTGCATTCCCATCAGTTCCCCTATTAATTATTCAAACACCTGAGTAACATATGAAACTAATCTAAAACTACGGGTAGCACCTCCTGCACACTACACCACAGAGCACAATGTAGGAGGACTCAGTGGTCTCCTTTCCAATAAATGACCCTAAAAAGTCCTATTATTGGAGGCAACTTATGGAGATCACAGTTATTTTAGAGAAATAGAAGCTGTAGATCTGTTCTTATGTGGCAATAAAAAGAAAAGCTGTCACACTGCCTAAAAACTAACACCTTTGGGCTCGTGGGTTAGCTCAAAAGTGTTTGCTTCAGCAAACTCAGTCAGGCTCAGGGGACCAGGGTTTTGATCCCCAGCACCACATGCCACACCACACCTGCCCTTAAGGCAACCTGAGCCAGCCAAAAATAACAAGAACAAAACAAAACAAAACAAACAAAAAAAAAAAAAAACAGGCTTATAGGGCCAGCCTGATAGCTCAGCAGACTAAAGCGCCTGCTTAGGCAGAGTGCAGCGGCCAGGGGTCGATCCTCTGCCTGTGTGCCAGCCCCACCCGCAGGGCAAGCTGAGACACGATTGAGACAGGGCATGGTGGTGCACGCCTGTAATCCCAGCGCTGGGGAGGCTGAAAACAGCAGAATCACTACAAGTCCGACCTACATAGTGAGACCCTGCAGACCCTGCAGATCCTGTAGATCCAGTCCTAGATACAGGAAAAAAAAAAAAAAAAAAAAAAAAATTAACACCTTAGCCAAGTGCAGTGGTGTGCGTGCCCATAATCCCTGAACTCTGGGAGGTGGAGGCAAGAAGATAACAAGTTCAAATCCCCCACCAGGCAAATTACTGAGATCCATTCTCAAAATAAAATAAAAAGGACTGAGAAAATAAAATAGCTCAAGTGGCTGAGCACCCACGGGTTTCATGCCCAGTACCCCATCTCAAATTAAACTCTTTATTTACTTTCCCTCTAAAACAAACTTTAGAATTAAAGAAAGATAAGGAATACACACATTAGCTTTCTCTCTCTGTATACCAGGGTCTGGTGTTTCATTTGGGATGTTAATACAAACTGTAGATAAAATCTACTAATTAATTACATTAATTATGATCTGGCTAGCTGACAGAGTGACTCTTAAATTCTCTCAGGAAAAGAAGCAAAGAAACACAAGTATGGATTAAACAGACAGATCGAAGCACCCTTACTGTATCAGTCCACTTCCTTTGAGTTCTAGAAAAACTAGAACTAATCTGTGGGTAAAATCATCAGGCAGTCACTGTTCCTGGTAAAATGCGGCTGTAACCTGACTTGGAAGGGGCGAGAGAGACTGCTGCGAGAATGGGAACATTCAATATTTTCATGAATTGCTTTCATGAACTTTGAAAACTTTTCTAATGGTACACATAAAATCTCTGTGTCATTGCATGTAACTTTTACCACAAGAGAACAAATAAGCCAATACTTAAGTGTAGGTAGTGATATCTATGTTTAATTATTTAGGATGTTTTTGAAATTATCCAAAAAAAAAAAAAAAAAAGCCAAGATGGATCAAAGGCAGAATAAATAAACAATAAATCCAAGTTCAATGGTGTAAATAGTAGAATCTAGGTAGCTGGTATATGGGTGTTTTACTACAAATTTCAATTTTGCTGCATTCAAAATTTTCACAATAAAAAATTTTCTTGACTAATATAAAAATAAAAGGGCAAATACACTATAAATGTCTCTAGCTCTATTTTCTATAAGTTCTAATGTATGCTCACAAAACTTAAAATAGATTCAAGTAAAGTTCAATAAGCAGGCATTAATCAAAGTGTGCGCCAAGGCCGCTGCTGTGGGCTGCCACGGCACTCCGAGCTAGCCTGCCCCACTCTCCTAGGGCCTATTTTTACTTTTTCCTCTGTAACTTGGCCCAGACTCACTCTGCACAGCCAGATTTTCCCTCATTGTTCACTTTCACTTTTTCAAATAAACTTTGTCACTGCTTTTTGCTCACTTCATTCAGTTCTTTGAGGTAAGAAGAACCTCCAAGCTCCGCTCCAAGTGGGAGAGGACTGGACACCATGCACGAAGCTGCACCAGGGCTCTGCTGGAGCCCTGCTCTGTACGTGCGACAGCTAATGCAGCAGGCTCCTACAAATGCAGGCTTGACTGTCCCCGCTCCCAGACAGAGCCCGGGACTATCCCAGGCAAAGCCCTCATTTCCTGCGCTGACAACTGAAGAGGCCCTGGAGAACAATCTGCAATACATTCATGGCCATGGCCATTCCTCCAAGGAACCCTGGGTAATCTTAGCCATCATGGTTGAGCCAACTCGATTGCCTTATCTTGCTTCCACTTTCCTAGAAAAGCCTCCTCTGGATCTATAGCCACAGTAAGGGTTGAGGGCACCCTTAATCAGAGTTTCAGGGCTGGGGAGATAGTTCAGTGGAGTAAGTGCTTGCCTGGCAAGTGCAAGGTTCTGAGTTTAATCTCTGGTTTAATCTCAAAAAAAAAAAAAAAAAGTCTCTTTGCAGCTGTACTGACAGAAGAAGCTGCAAAGTTACCTTCAAGACAGACTAGAAGTCCTGATTCCCTACCTAGTCAGAGTTATTATTCCAGACACAAAATGTTACTCTGGCTAACAGTGGAATCGCTCACCAAGTATTGGCCATATTCTTAGACACCCCTGAGATTATAATAAAAACCTGCACCACTATAAACTCTGCTTCTTTGATGCCTACAGGCCCAGGAGTCAGCCACTCTTGTGAATAAGTGATCTCCCCGACCTATGCAAGCAGAAGGACATCTGTGACCTGTCCACCCAAACCTCGGAGGTACGGGTCACTGATGAAAGTAGCTTGGACAATCATCTTATAAAACACAGGCAGGGACTCCCACAACTTCTTGAGGTGGTCCATCCTCCCACACAGGTCACACTGTAAAGCGCACCGAAGAGACACGTCTGAATTCTTCTTGGGAAATCACACGGCTAACAGAGAAGAGAGAGAGGCTGACAGCACCTCAAGGCCCTAACCTCAGTCTCAGTTTCTGAGGAACCATTCTGGTCTCTCCTCAAGGGGCACAGGGATAATATATAAAAATTCTAATGGACAGTGGGTCTCAATCTTCTGGAAAGGTAGGGAGTCAACAAGACCCTAAAGCAAACTCCG